AACTGGTGGGGAGGGGTGGGCAGGGAGAAAAGTGCAGCAATGAATGAATGGAAATCCAAAATCTCTGTAAATGTTTATTAAAATTAATAAGAAAGAAAAAAAATGAATGAGAGAAAAAAGAAAAAGTACATTAGATTCATCTTTTTGCTTAATATGTTTGAATAATATTCATAAAAATATAATGCAATACTAACCTCAGTAGAATCATCTGGTTTTGATAGGAAATTATTCCGAAAGCGATCAAAATTCCCAAAACTGCTGCTGCGCTGTTGAAAAAGGGAAGGTAAAAGAATGACTTCCTTGTCAAAACTGATCCTGGAAATTCAACAGGCGCCAGCTTCTTAGGAATATAACTTCTATAACTTAGAAATATAACTTATAAGATCATTTCTGCCTGGGAAATCTAAAGATTTCTAAATATATTTAAAGTATAACAATTACTAGCATTTAATAATTGCTGTCAAGGAAAAGTCTCTATACTAGTAATGTGAAAGTAAACACCTAATAGGAGTTAAATTATTTGTAATGTACAGTGTTACATTTATTGGAAATTGAAACGAAGAAAATCCTAAAAATTCTCACCAAACCTTTCTGGAACCAGCTGAGCTCTCATGCTTTCATAAGGCATGGAGTAGTATCCAGGCAACCAGCCATCTGACCAACCAACAAAACACACAAAGAAAAACGAAACACTCGACTCATTTTACCACTATGCCTCATAAAAATCAATTGTGTTAAAAAGCAAAACTGGATGCAAAAAAAAAAAAATTCCATTGTGGCTTGTGCATGACAGAGGTATGTGCAGGACAGGGCAAAGTTTTGTTGTTCCTAAGGTTGGTATGAGCTGTAGTCAATGGCACCTAACAACAACTTGCATTCAGAGGTAGAAGCCAGCAATGTTACTCAACGTCATAATAATAATTTACAGATTAGATGAGGCTTTGATTTTGAGCACTAAGATAAGAGAGACAAGGGAGATCTGGTGGCTTAGTGGCCAGAAGCTGTGCTGCAATCCCACAGACGTGTGGTTCAAATCCGCCACATGCTCCACTAAAAAGGAGGGGCAATCTCCTCCCATGCCAGTCGGGCCCGATTTAATGGTACATAAAGAGAGAAAAAAAAAAGATAAGTGAGAGAGGGAAAGCCTATATTGGTAAAATAATATTTTACTATTTCTGGTTTTTAAGTCAAGGTTAAATCTGAGAAACGAGTTTGCACTCTAAATAATAATGTTATAAAAAAAACCGAGAAAAACCGAGTGCGTGCGTATGTTTTTAAGTTTGCATCAACCTTATTGTCTCTTCATGATACTTTTATAAAGCATTAAGCCTCTGGTCTACATACTTGGAGAGAATATGACTGTACTAGCAGAAAAATACAATATGTCTTGTCTACTGGACTGTAAAATATATGCATGAAATAAAAGTAGTTCCATTTGGTCTTCTAGTATATTCAAGTGCTATCTGACGTTGTTACCCTGTTTTTGCAAAAGGAAAAATAAAGAAAAAAGTTAACTACATGCCCTTGTTTCTAATGATCAGAGAGATCTGTTTTAGTAGTTAATGAACGTTTAGTTATGAGTTTCCAGTTTTGTGAATTCCAGATGTTGTGCAGTGCTTTTATTTTGTTTCGGGAATTCTCTCTGGTTTGTTTAAGTTTGGGGATTTGTTTTGTTTTAGGTTTGTTTGGGTTTTGTTGATTTTTTTTTTTAAGATGACAACTAAAAAATAAAGAAATATCTGAGGAATATATACACTGGGAACTGTAGCGGTAGCTTTCAGTACTGTAAAGAGACTGTTCTATACAGACCTTTTTGCTGTTTATCCTGTATGTAATAAAGTTCTCTCTAGACTCTATGTGAAAAGAGAAATGCAGCGATAATCTTCAGCATGTCTTCATTGGCTGAGACTTCTTGTGTAATGTTAGCTATGCCATGTTATTAAAAAATGTGAACTGAAACAAACAAACAAACACCCCACCACAGAAGTGGGCTTTCTTTCTTGACTGGGCATCAGAATCACACCTAGAGAGGACAGTTGCTTCGGACCATTTCCAAGTGACTCATTTGACCTGTTTCCACTTCTGGTGAGATTACTGATGTAGAATTGTATTCCAATGGTTGTCACGTATCATTAAAGATACACCCAGAGACCAAATAGAAGAGGGTCTTGGCCATACCAATTATAATTTTAAGAAGGCATCCAATCTCAGGGACAACGATTTAGAACTACTATTTTCCACTTCTGGAATATAAGTTTAGAATGGCACAAATTTTCTGAAAGTCCTTTTTTAAATTATTCACAAAGAATTGGAAAAAATGTCCATTGCTAAATCTTAAAACTTGCTAAATATCAGAAAGAGAAAACTTACCATGTAGTTGTTGTTATGTGCCATTGAGTCCCTGGCAACTCAGAGTGATCCTATATACAACAGCTCTGAGCCCTGCTCTATCCTGAGCCAACCTTATTGTCTCTGACATACCTACCCCCGCTACCCTAGTCACTGAGTCAATCCATCTCATCCAGGGTCTTCCTTTTTTGAGCTGTCCTTCCACCCTCCCAAGCACGATGTTGCTCTCCAAGGACTGGTTCCTCCTTGCAACATGCCCAAAGTATGGCAGACGAAACTTTAGAATCCGTGCCTCCAAGCAAAAGCTTTATTTCTTGCTTCCTCTGGGCCTCAGTTTCCCTTTTTTCAGATAGAAGGACTGTGAGCCATTAAAAAAAGGAAACCGCCCAGGCCTGAGAATTCTGTTTTCACCCTCTCCAGGACAAACCAGTTTGTTCTCCTAGCAGTCCATGTTATAGTCAATATTCTCCTCCAGCAACACATCTCAAAGGGATCAAATCTTCTATAATCTGTAGTCATAGTCCAGCTTTCTGATACATAGGAAGTAACTGCAAACACTATGGCCTGGATCAGGTACACCTTAATCTCCAGATTGACATCATTGCTCTCCAATACTTTGGAAAAGTCCCTGACAGCAGACTTTCTCAATGCAATTCATTTTTTTATTTCTTAGCTGCTGGTACCAAGATTGTTGCTTGAGCAGCCAAGCAAACTGAAGCTGTTAACAATCCCAAACTGTTTACAATCTCAATCTTTACACTATCTGTCATGAGGTTGCCAATCAGCCCAGGGGTGAGAATATTTTTTCCCCCCTTGATGTTGAGCTTCAAAACATATTGAAGGCTGCAGTCCCTGACCTTCTGCAGCAAGCATGTCAGGTCCTCCTCAGTTTTAGAAATCAAAGTTGCATCATCTGCATAATGTAGGTTGTTAATGAATCTTCTTCCAATCCTGATGCCACGTTCCTCCTTATTGAGCCCTGCCTTCTGGATGATCTGTCCTGCATATAGATTGAATAAATATAGAGATAGGACACATCCCTTGCATATACCCTTCCCTATTATGAACCATGCAGTGTTTCCTTGCTCTGTTCTGATGACTGCCCCCTGGTCCAAGTATAGGTTTCACATAAGCACAATCAAGTGTTCTAGGATTTCCATTCTTCTTAGAGTTAGTCACAGTCTATTGTGATCCACACAGTCAAAAATATCATAAATTGAAAGGGGCATGTAGCCATGTAAGATCAGAAGTTGAAGAATAAAACTGAATTTATCCATATTTACCATGAAATAACAATGAGACTACCGTATCAGTAGTGGGCATTATGTTTGAGAAAACCTTGGTGTTAAAAGATTCTTCCCTTACCACACCTTTTGTGTACAAAGCTAAACATTTATCCTTATTCAATTCAGTCTAGGTTGGTAATTGTAAACATATCCTGAAAAAGGAAATAATTCTCCTAAGCACATTTTTAAAAAGTCTTTAGAGGCACTGAATATTTTAAAAAAAGTTCTCCCTTAGCATCTATTTAATTTTATATATTATTTGAGATGGTAGGACTCTGATATTAAGTTCTTCGTGTTTCTATCACAAGAATCTGTTCTATCTTTAAGCCATTTATCTCACTCCAAGCTTATCATATTTTAAAAAATAAGGTAATAGTACTGAAAAACCTCTTGGTGATCTTAAAAATTAGTAATGAGTATCAGTAATCTAGAAAACTTTGTAATTTTTTTTCTTTCAGAAACCACAGCCAAGTCAGTTTCAAGGGCTCCTGGTCCTTAAAAACACTCCCACACTCACATCTTACCACCAACTATCTTTAAAACTCTTTGTTTCCATTTTAAATGAACTGAAACACAAAGATTCTGACATGTGACAAAGGGTTAGCCTGATAGACGGTGTGTGATACAGGGTGCCGCCCAAGGATGACTGCTGTGTTAGACACAATTCACACCTTGGCTTGTCACCCCTGTGGAACAAGTCCTTGAGTTCCCAGAGAACAGGACAAAGACTAAAATTTAGAACCACACTAGAAAATACAGTCTCCTTATGCAAACTTTCCTTAACAGAAGTGACTTTCCTGTACATTAATCATTTCATTTTGCTTAGGAGACATTTCCTCAGGCCACCATGACTCGGAGATCACAGAAAGTATTGAGTATACTGGTCTGTTTACAAACAATCTGAACAAAGGTGAAAAATGTTATTCTTTTAGAGACTTGAAACATCACTCTAGCTCATGAGTGGGACAATTTGCTACCTTATGCCCACAATTTCTTCTACCTATTAAATATTAATAAGGGTTAATGCCTAATTTTCACCATTGTATAATGGGCCATGCTGTCCAGGAGGGCAAGGAATAGGCTCATTTCAGCGTTTCTCTACCCTATCTTCTTCCATTAAATAATCAATAGTCACCACTTTTTAAAATTAATTCATACCCCATTATATCAATAAGGAAGAGTAGATTGAGGAGCAGTGATTATGGGACTATTACTTTGGTTTTTGTCTGTCTTTTCATTACTAATCACTCAATAGCTTTAAACCAAGGATTATGATATCAATCTGTACTCAACACGCTTAAGAGGCAAAACTATTTAAAAGATGTCTTTGAATTGCATTATTCTCTAGTCTAAAAGTTAGTGACTTTCTGAGGTGGTTTCATAGTGTGTAGGTTATGACTTATGATGTAAAAAGGGCTAATGTATACTATGAGGTTTGAATAATTAAAAATTTATAATTTTCTGCTTTTGTTAGCTCCTTAATGAAAAAGTTAATTACGACAGTAAAGTGGACTTCCTAGATAAAAGTCCTTAATAAATGAGAATGTGTCTAAATAGTAATAATATGTTGTATAACCCTAACAGATCATAATTGTTGCTGTTATGTGCCATCAAGTCTCTTGCGACTCATA